CAGAACTCATATCATAAAGTCCTCGCAAAATGAGGGCAAAATCGCTGGGTAGTGTCTTATCTACAAACCCATCCTCCTTCCAAAATTTACCCCGGAACCTATTCCGTTAAAACTCCCCTCGCCAAAAGAAAAAGCAATCACAAGCGGGCGGAGACTGGGGCCGAATTTTTGGAGCCCGTATACACATAAGAAATTTGAAGAATATTTTGGTCCTTTAATTAAGATACCAAAGTTTTCAATCATACATCATACACTTAATTTGGGCTCATTTGAAATCAGATCATATCATCTTTATGTGCTTAATGTAGGATGCATTTCAACTCTGATCAAATTAGTTCATCTTTGATTTTGTTAGATTCATCTTGTCCATATATTAAATTTGAATGTAAGTTTATAAGTAATTGATTTTTTATTATTCTAAATTTAATTTTAAAGTTTTAAACTTACAATAATTCATCAAATTTCATGCCCATCAAAAAATATTTTCTATAAGCATAGCAAATTTTTGGAGACATACCCAATACTTCATAACTAAGCACGTAAATTAAATTGAAAATATGTCACTTCCTTTTTTACTTTTGCTTTGTTTTTCTTCGGAGTCTCTCTTCTTTCCTGTTTGTATTTCTTTTGTTTGTTTGTTTCTCTTTTCTCTTACACATGTAATTAGTTTCATTGATGTGGATGTTATTTTTTTTACTATGATATATTGAAAGGGCAAAGCCCCAAATTTTATCAAAAAAAAATGACACTTCCACAAGAGATAAGCTGATTTTATTTATTTAATAGTGATGTCAACAGGTACGTCAGATAATATATGAACTATCTTTCAAGATTTTCTAAATATTATATGTAGAGAGAGAGAGAAAGAAAAAGAAGAGAGTATAATATAGAGAGAAAGAGAGAGAAGGGGGTAGGGAGGAAAACAACAATAAGTTTTTCATTTCAAAATGTTTAGAAATAACTTAATTCTGTCGGATCAATTGCAATGGAAAAGGAATGCCCGGATGATGGCATATTTGCTATCCAATAGTTGGGCTCTGATTTCTCAGATGGGAATACCTTTCATTATTATTTTAATTTTATTAATTTTTATAATAATATTATTATTTATTACGTCATCCGGTTCGACCCCGATTCGACCGGTCGAACTGTGAACCTCTCCTTCTTCCGGTTCGTTGTCCGGTCTGATTTTCACAACTTTGGCTTTACTAATACTTCTTAAACTTCATTTGGGGCAGCTTTCTTGATGTTTTCTAAAATAATTTTTTATTACAAAAATTATAGTTTAAAAATTTTTCTTCTAAAAAGTTGATTTAGAAAGTAGTAAGAAAGCTATCTCAAATGAAGCCTTCGAGTGCAACAAAATAACGAGCCTTCAGAAAGCTTACTTGTTTCTCCCAGTTTGTAAACATTGTCATTATTAGCAGCACCGCGTCTTGAACAAAAATCGCACAGATGTTTCCAATCCAAAGACCCTTTACATCCATATGGAAAACAAAACCAAGAAGTATAGATGCTGGAATTCCAACGAGGTAGTAAGAACCGAGACAAACAAAAACTCCCATCTTTTGCCTACCACTTCCTCTAATAGTGCCTGAATTCATAACGAATTTATTAGACAATTAATAACAAGAGGAATTAGTCCTTGCTAATTAGTCTTAGCGCAGAGTGCTTAAATACCTAAAAGCACGCATTGGAAACCATCAATGAAATGAGATAAAGCTATCCATGGAATCATTACAGCCACAGCATTCACAACTTCCCTCTCTTTGGTATATAGATGTCCCCATAAGTTCCGTCCACCAATCATCCCAAATCCCACTATCAAACCTTCAATAATTATGGCTACTGCCGCAGTTAGGATAGCCAATACAGCAGCCCCTGGATTTTGTGCACCCAATTCATTGGATATTCTGGTACTGAAAAAAATGAAGGAAACTTACTTAATACATATGAGCCTTCAGATGTTGTTTAGGATTTGAAAGAAGAGAAATCATGTCATCTAACCTGATTGCACCACTAAGGCCCAAGGGGATCGCATACACCAGTGAAGAAATGTTTTGGCTATGAAAATGAAATAAATTAATCATATATAAAACTAAATTAACTTAAATCGCAATAAAATTTAAGAAAAATATACCTTATAGACATTAATGACGTTTGGAGCGCTGGATTTGTAAGAA